ATTGAAGACAATACTATCATAATCTCACAGCTGTGCTTGGGAACGTATTTTTGTCTGACTTTCATTTCAGTTTGCTAGAATCAAAGATGATTTTGGTCAACCTTAAAGCCCTTTTCAGACAGACATTCTGGAACATTTGTGGACAATTCAATCCGGTTTTTAACCGGAACTGTGATTTCAGACACACCACTTTTGTACCGGAACTTGTCCTTTCGGCTGCGTTCACACAGCAGGGAAAAGTTCCAGATGTCTGGGGGGGGGGGTTCGGACTTATGTTAAGCATAATTCTGCGCACACGAAGACGCATAAGAGACCTGGATGATGAAGCTCAATGGTTAAAGGAATCACTGAAGCGGTGTGAAGCGCTCCGTCGCGCGTCTAGGCGGTACCGTAGGAGGCGAGCTGCCGTGGTTCACCGCATGCTACAGGAGCGAGCTATCTAGGTGCACACAGCGTCCCCCGGTCCCCTCCTCCCCCCCCTCCTCCCTGTCCGGAACTCGACCTCACCAGTCTGAAGCAGCCACCCTGTCCGTAACAAGTCCGGACCTGTTACTGGGGTGTCGTCCAGTTAAATTACGGAAAACGTTATCCGGATGTTTGTATTCAGACACAAAGGTCTTGCGGACAGAGTCCGGAACATTTCCGTTTTTCATGTCCTGTCTGAAGGGGGCTTAAGAGCCTGCTTAGTGATTAGAGCGGGATGTACTGGCTAGTGGATACGGGCGAAGGGTAGGTTTGAGTCGACGTTATAAACAGGAAGATTGTTGACTGTTCGGTATATTACAGTGTTGTTGCAGGTTCCTAATAAAGAGGACAGCACTAGCTCAGGACGTAGAGCGGGTTGTCCAGTAATTGGAAGGTTGTAGGTTCAATCCCGGCTCCTGCCGGAGAATGCTGCTGTTGTGTCCTTGGGCAAGACACTTAACCCACCATGCCTGCTGGCGGTGGTCGGAGGGGCTGATGGCACCAGTGTTTGGCAGTCTTGCTTCCATTAGAGCATCCCAGAGCAGCTGTGGCTACATTGTAGCTCATCCCCACCAGCGTGTGAATGTGTGTGTGTGAATGGGTGAATGACTGTGCTGTGAAGCACCTTGGGAGGTTGTAGAACTCTAAGAAGGTGCTACACAATTACAGGCCATTTACCATAATGACAAAAAGATGATTTTGATTTAAATTACATGGTTTTCAGTTTCTACACAAACCCAAATCATCAACCCTCCACTACTATGCTCATGTGCCACTCTAATACACTCCAAAGGCTACAAACTATATACATGACATTATTGTTTTTCTCAGACTGATTGACATCGATAATGTTTGTCTTCATTGGAATTGTGTTTAGGAACAAACTGATAAAGCCTCTAACAGTGGGAAGGTGTTTCATCTCTTATGATATCTTAATCGCTGTAAGTGTATAGTCAGTTTTATACACTTTACACTTTACATTTGACCTTGGGCTTTGGCGAGATTTTAGTAATTAACAAGGTAAAATATGCCCTGTTGTAGTTATGGAATCTAATTTTAGGAGCTGAGCCAGAAAGAAAATGAAAATATTTTATACTGAGAATCAGACTGGAGAGTGGGTAACGTTTCTTTTTACACACATTCTTGGAACCATCAGTCATTCCCAAGAAATTTGCTACAAGGAACTGCAGCTATATTACATCAGCTGTCTCAGACAGCTTGATAGTCATTATTAAATTGTGAGAGCTTTAGAAAGACCCAATTCACCACATTGAATGTGGTACAACATTGGCATGTTGCTAATAAGAAATGCGGGAAGTTTTATCTTGTAGCATCACAACATCTAGAATGCACAAATTACAAACATCTTTGTGAGTATATAAATATATAAGTCCAATCTCACATTAACCTTGTTACTCGGGCCGCATGTTTCCATTCCATCTACGCAATATACAGACTCCGTCTTTTTCTCATGCCTCATGCTGCTGCAATCCTCGTTCAGTCTCATCACCTCTCACATCAACTACTGTAACTCCCTTCTCTTTGGTCTCCTGATCAAATCCTTCCATAAACTCCAACTTCTCCACAACTCTGCAGCACGCATCATTACTGGTACCCCCTGAAGAAATCACATCACTCCTATTCTTATAAACTTACATTGGTTGCCAATAGAAACCAGGATCATATACATGATCCTAATTTTCACGTTTAAATCTGTCCATAGCATGACCCCACCTTATTTGTGTGATTTACTAACTATTGCAACTACTTCTCAGTCGCTTAGATCCTCATCTGCACTTCTTACACAACTTGCCTGTGTTGGTGCTGGTCAGAGGGGCTGATAGTGTAAAATGGCAGCCTCGCCTCTGTCAGACTGCCCCAGGGCGGCTGTGGCTACATAGTAGCTTACCATCACCAGCAGTGTGTGAATGTGAGTGCATGAATAATGGAAAGCACTTTGGATGTCTCAAAAAGTGCTATATAAATCCAAACCAGTATTATTATTATTAATATTACTTCATCTGGTTCAACCTTGAGCTCGCATTACCACCATGAGGAGCAGAGCTTTCAGTCGCTCTGTCCTGCGGTTCGGGAACACACTTCCCTCTGCCACTGGAAATACTGACTCCTTTACATTATTTAACGCACACATCAAAGCCCACCTATTCAAGCAAGCATATTTCCTTTAGCCTTTGACTTTGGAATGATTTAATTTTGTGCATCTTATTTGCTCTTATTGCTCTATTAACCTCTGTGTTGTTTTTACTGTTTTTATCTGTTTTATTGTTGTATTGTCCTTGGGTCTGAGAAAGGTGCCCTCAAATAAAAAGTATTATTATTATTATTACTATTATTAATAATAATAATTAATAATGGGGATGGTGATGACGATAATAATAATAATGATATTAATATTAGTATTATTTATGTTATTATTATAAAAACAGTAGGTGTATGAGCTGCATTAACTCCCATAAAAGTGCTGAAATACGGTGACAGCTGCTATCAGAGGCGATGAAGAAAATTTATTTCTAAAACTAAAATAAAAAGTGGTTAAAAATGTTATTATTTTTCTTTTGGTGTTGTTGTTTGAATGGTATCTTACCATGTCTCAGAGAAGAGGCGTGAAATAAATAAGAATAAGAATGGCAAATGTCATAAAATGCAGTTGGAAAAGAGTAGATTAGGCATGTTTCCATTGTTGGAAGTTCAGGGTAAATTTTAGGAGGGAGAATTGACCAGGAGATACGATGTCTTGGTCCTCTCAGCTGTTGTGTCTGTTCAAGTTCAGCCCTTATTAGAGGAGACCTAACGGAAGACCCAGGACACACTGGAGGGACTATGTTTCTTATCTGGCCAGGGAACGCCTTGGGAATCGCCGGGAGAAGCTGGCGGGGGGAGGGAAGTCTGAGCCTCTCTGCTTAGAATGCTGCCCCCATGACTCGACCCCAGACAAATGGAGGAAAATGGATAGATGGCTAGATGGATGGATAAATTCCCAACTTACAACTGTTAAGTGCAAAAAAGTGACTTGGGACTGGGTTGTGAAAGAGCAAAATGCAGACTCTATTTTTTTATGTTGCTTATGGGGAGTAAGGCTATTACAGAAACAATGTTATGGGTTGAAATATTAATTTTGAAGAAAACAGTTTTTTAATGAAATTTGCAAGACATTTGTTTCATTGCACAACTGTTTGATAGATGATCAAAAAGATGAAAAATTGTTAATTGTTAAAGTTTAAAAACAAGCAAATTGAGTCCGTTTTTCCCACCAAGTAGCAGAATGAAAATGGTTTCCACATTTTTCTTGCAGTTTGAAAGGTTGATGCATTTTCAATGTTGCTGACATGAGTACAAGTCCTCATGACTCCTGTGGTTGTTCTATGAAATCTGAACTTCAGGGACAAGACAGAGCTCATTGTTTTTCACCCCAACAGCAGGAATGTGGGTCGTCATGTTGATCTTGGCCCTCTTTCTCCCTACTCAAAACCAGTTGTCACCAGTCCTTGGGGTGAAAATTGACTAGACTTAAATTTGATGCTCACATCAACTCTGTGATCCGGTCCAGTTTCTTTCACCTGAGACGCCTTGCAAAATCAAGCCTATGCTGTCGAGAGCCCACCTGGAGCGGGTACTCCATGCTTTTGTAATTTCTAGGCTTGATTACTGCAACTCTCTCTATGCAGGGCTGTCAGTCAACACTGCACCGTCTACAGGTTGTGCAGAACAGCGCAGCCAGGTTCACATCAGTCCGGTTCTGACCTCCCTGCACTGGCTTCCGGTCTGTTATCGTTCACACTTTAAACTCCTCGTCTTTGTTTACAATTTCTTCCAGGGTGGTGGTCCCCCCTATCTAGCCACACTCCTGAACAGACACTCCCCGTCACGCGCTCTGCGCTCCTCTGACCAAGGCCTGCTCGCTGTCCCTCGTTCTAGGTGTCGTACTCGCGGGGACCGGGCTTTCTCAGTCCTAGCACCGTTACTCTGGAACCAGTTGCCACCCTCAGTCAGGCTGTCCCCATCTCTGCCAGTCTTTAAGAGTCGCCTAAAAACCCACCTCCTCCGCTTGGCGTTCTCTGAGCGTGTCTGAGTTTGGCGCTCTTTTATGTTGATTTTATTTCCCTGTTTTCATTGGTCTCCTTCTCCCTTGTTTTACCCATTTGTTTTCTATTTTCATGTTTTACCTTTTTTGCACTATTTGAATAGCTTTTATCATCGATTTATTCATCGTCTTTCACATTTCTCATGTACCGTGTTCAGCACCTTGGGCTTCCCGACAGGGAAGGCGCTTTATAAATAAAACTTTGATTGATTAATTGAACTTAGTGACTCTTTTATCAAAATTTTGAAAATATGAAAAGTAAAAGAAAAAGGTCAGTTATTTCTATTTTACAGTGCTGTTCCTAGATTAGTGCTGAGTGAACACTAACCGTCTGGTGTAGCAGCTTCCACATAAAACAGCCTTAGTTGCAGGCTTCGGGGGGGGGGGGGGGGGGGGGGGGGGGCGGGGGGGTTGCTTGATTTTACAAACTTACCACTTTGGGCTTGAAAGGCGGCTGAATCTCTCTGTTCTTCAGGCGATCCCAGTCGATCCGTCTGAAGAAGGCGTGTTCTCTGATGTCTCGCTCTCCTTCGGCGCCACAGCCCAGACGCTTGGACGGGTGTTTGGTCATCAGCTGCTCACAGTGAAAATAACAAGAGAATGCAGGAAAGAGACAGTAAGACCAATGGTGCCAAACATTTATAAAACGTTTGTGAATTGTGATGCTTAAGAGTTTTGCGTTAGCCTAGAAATCTAAAAAGACTAGCTGAAGCAAAAGGATTTTGCGCTGCGTGTCAGTCTAGCCACGCTCCACTGAAATCTCAGCAGGCCAGCACCGTCTTGTCCCTTGCCAATCACTGTGCTCTATCGGTTTGGCCGGGCTATTGATCTGGTCTGCAGGATGACGCGTGGAACAACTAAGATGGCAATGGTTCGTTTGAAACGGCGTTGACATAGACTTGGACTCTATTTAGATGTGGGATTTCTTTGAGTCAAGAGCAGAGAGATACTTAAGTCCTTTACTTAGGAAAAGAATGTATTTGCATCATCTTCGATGGTGGACTGCCCCGTAGACTGACATCTGTAGTGGTGAGTATGTCAAGTTGTTTTAAAAAGATCTTCCCTTCTTTTTTCTTTCACACACTAACTTTCTACATTTTTTTACCATAAAAAAACATTTGTTCTTTTTATTTCTTATAATTATTTTATGATCATTATGAAATGAGTTTTCTCCACAGGGTGTCTGGGCTCTCCCTTAGAGACAGGGTGAGAAGCTCGGTCATCCGGGAGGGGCTCGGAGTAGATCTGCTGCTCCTCCACATCGAGAGGAGCCAGTTCAGGTGGCTCCTGGACGCCTCCCTGGTGAGGTTTTCTGGGCACGTCCAACTGGGAGAAGATCTAAAGGGAGACTCAGAACACATTGGAGGGACTGTCTCTTGCCCGGCCGGGGAACGTCTTAGGGTTCCCCCGGAAGAGCTGACCCAAGTGGCTGGGGAGAGGGAAGTCTGGGCCTCTCAACTTAAACTGTTGTCCCTGCGAACCGACTCCGGATGAGCGGAAGAGAATGGATGGATAATTTTTATTCAAAACTTTAAAATCTTTCAGTTTTAAGCTGCAAATTAGCACTTCCATGGATCAAACATGGTCACTCACCCAGGCATTAATTGCCAGGCTTTTTTTTCTGTACTGAATTCCCGTTCCAGTTCCTCTGCTACCCTCTGCTACAAACTCTGCAAACTCATCAATATCCAAACACACAGCCTAAACTCAGCTGCTGACGAGGAAGATAAAGTCATCTGCAGCTCACGAGGCTGTCAGTTCAGGGAGAAAGCACCCTGCCAAAAAGACACGACTGTCACCATTAAAACGACTCCTCACACCTTGAGATGCCCATGAAAGTGGGGGAGTTCTTGCCTGTCAGCCTCACATCACCAGCAGAAGAATCGAGCGTTGACACCCGCTAGAACTGTTCTGTTTGTTGTCAACACAAATTTTAACAGCTCCACTGCATCGCCACCAATTAACGGGTTTAAGCTCCGACGTTTACGTCACGCACACTGTTTCTGCTGAGGGATGAAAATGATTAGATTTAGTGTTAAAGGAGGTGTGGAGAAGTCAGTGTCTAGAAAATTTCAGGGATGGGGCTTTGAAATCATCTTTTGAAATCATAGTTTGAAGTCTGGGAAACTGGAAAAGCAGGGATAGACTGAGATCTGATCAGTGAGTTATGGTGGGTAGAAAAGACATTAAAACAGCATAAAAAAAAGGCTGATTAAATTTCATCAAAGATTTAGACGTAAAAATCTAGCCAAAGTGCTGGTGGTGTCATCGTAATATTAGTCCTTATAAAAATTACAACATTTGGTTTATTTGTGAAAAACTGACACTTTTGAGGCAAGTTCAAATGTGTCCTTAAGGGTTATACAGTATATAGCTAATAAAATAAAATAAACATTCAAATAAAATAAAGACCATAAAAGAAAAATCAATACAAGCATGCCATGGTTGCCATATTCAAATTAAAATTCAAGATGTTTATGTCATTTTCCTTTTTTTCCCTCTTCCATATTTTTGTTGCAGACGCTGTCTGATGTGGTGCATTACAAGGCTGTGCAGTGTAAGTCATTAGCCATATTGTGGTTTTCTTGATAAATTAATTGATATTTTAGCAAAATAAAAGTTTTTTTTCCTTTTGTCTGGTTCTTTGTAACCAGCTCTCAGCAGTTTTAGAAGAACCTCCAGTTACTGGTTCAACTCATAAACATTACTCTTATTATCATGGTTTCATTTGCCAGGTATTTGGTTTTTGTGTGATCTTATGATTTTTTAGCCTGGCCTGCCAGACTCCTCCTCTGTTTAATTCTGCACAGAGAAAGGGTCTGGGAACTAGTGATGGGAATTCCGGCTCTTTTTAGAGAGCCGGTTCTTTTGGCCCAGCTCACCAAAATGAGCTGGCTCTTTCTGCTCCCAAGTGGCTCCTCAGATTTTCTGTTGCGTAGAGTACATTTATAACCAAAATTATGCTAAACTATATGTAAAATGATTTACTAATGTAAAAAAATGCAATATATCAAATATGCATAATTTCTATTGATTTAATAACTGAACATTTTGAGAAATCTCCACGTTCCAACTGCTGGCGCTCATTTTCTCACCGTCTTCGTCGCACTGTCCTCTCTCTCGCTCGCCTTTTTCCTCCTCCTCATTCCCTCAACCCGCATGTGCTCTGCTGTGTGTCTGAGTCTGATCCTCCCTCTTCCCCGCCCCTACTGCTCTGTGTGTGGACAGTCTGGACACACAGTTACACATGTTGACCAATCGCCTGTAGCTTTCACCAAAGCAAGAAGGGAGGGGAGGGGAGGGCTCCCAATGACGAGCCGGGTCCCGTCGTTCACTTCAAAGAGCCGGCTCTTAGAGCCGGTTCGTTTGCGAACGACACATCACTACTGGGAACTCTCCTGTTCAAATAACCCCACCCCCTGAGAATTCTAACCGAACCAATCAGTGCTGAGCAGAGTACGTCACACACCACAACGCCGAGTTTGTCGAACATGGCGACTGAAGCGGAGTTCGCTGCGGCTCTTTCCTCTGGTCTAAATTACTTGGACACGTCTTTAAAACCACAACAAGTAGAAGCGCTAAAAGCCTTTCTTCAAAAGAAAGATGTTTGCTCTGTCACCAGACGCCATTTTTGACTACAGCTGAAATACTACAGCGTTGCGCGGTACAGTCTGCATTTCCATCGTTTTTCTGATTGGTTATTTTTGAACTGGCTAGTCTAGCCCCTCATGTGCCTCTGCCTGTGAGTTGCCAGACTCTTTCTCTGTGCAGAATTAAACAGAGGACGAGTCTGGCAGGCCAGGCTAATGATTTTTTTTCTTTTTTGTGTGTGTTCTGTTTATTTTTAGAACCCAAATTTATAATATTTTCCCAAACACATTTAGTTTAGTGCTGTGTGAAACGTGAAATACAAAACAAACAAAATATTTTTTTTTACTGTCGACACAAAAGCAGATAAAAAATGATGAAGTTCAGATGAAAAATCGGCTTTTCAATCTGAGGTTAAAAATTTCTGTTGGACTTTTCTGGAATTTATTACACGGCACATACGGTACTTCAGTTCTATTTTTATATTCTCAGTTATTTCTGTATCAAGAAAAAGTACAAAAAGTAAACTGCTTAAGGTAAATGTGGTTTAAATCTGAGACATCCAGGGCTGGATGGATATAGCTGGGCAGACATTATTATTGTCTGAAACCATAAAATTGTCTACTTGTTTTATTTCAGCAACAGCTGTCATAAAACAGAACTGAGAAACTTTAATTCTGTTACACTGTAAAAAAATTTTGATTTTACAATAAAATGGCAGCGGCTGAGATTACTGAATTTTCACCGTAAAAATCATGGCTAATATATATTTTCTTTTATTCAGAGTACATAAAGGTTGAACAATTAAAATGAACGAATACAAAGAAATATCAATAAATAAATTGACAAAAATATACATTAAAAGCAATAAAATGTACATTTTAGAATTTGAATTTAATTTGTTGAAGTATGACGATTAATCGCCATAAATTCTGAATTCTCTCTCATAACTCCACTTCTTTCTTTTTAGAAATGTCTTGAAAATGTTTTTTTTTCCTTTATTTTTCTATCACTGTTCTGCCAAGTGCTAAAAGTTCATTAAAGGAAGAAACTGTCAAACTCGGGTCGAGTCGGGGATCTGGGGCGACACCAGAACACACAAGTCATGTTTCCGTCGAACCAGTGGACGTCACACTGGACTGGGTTTCAAAAGTTAACTATAATTATTTACCAAACACAAACCATCACTCAGACTAAAACAAGCTCCTAAAGTTTGTATTTGGCATAACTGGAACTTTTTCTTTCTTCTCCACAAAATAAACACAAGCCTTGCAGTTGGAGGTTTGAATGCACGGGGACACAAACACACATTTAAGCAAAATAAACGAGAAGGGAAAAGGAGGGTGAAGAAAAACAGGTGGAGTAGAAGAGAAACAAAACACATTACTGCACAGCTCATTAACTTCGCACAGCCTCGGGATGGACATAAAACTACCACAGTCACTATCAAACTCCTCCAACGTGCACAAACACAAATTTATGTGCTGTTCATCCACGCTCCAGAATATTTTTGAATGTTCCAAAAGGATAAATCTGGGTCAAACATGCATTTATTGCTGTTGCTTATTTTATAAACTGACTCATCTCCAAGGAGCCAAACTAAATATAGATCTGTCAAAGTCTGATCCTGAGATTTGATGGATATTGATGTGAAACTGTGAGAAATGTCTTTGGAAAGTTTCCCATCTCATACAGACAAGCGAGTGTTTATTTTTACTTATTTTGGCATTTAGATCTAGGTGATCAATATCTATTAAAAAACATAATCTTCATGGTTTAGATGTTTAAACTTCCACTTGGAAAATAGCTTTAAATCATGCAGGAGCTTCACAAACAGTAAACCACCGTGGGCTCAGATAGCTGCTTGAAAGAACTGTGGAATCATTGTTTTCTTGTTATTTTCACGAGGATAAAATACAATGTCAAAATTCAACCAAAGCAAAAAACTCATGCCTTCATAAAAAACAAACTTCGATGGAAATGAAATCCTTAATCAAACTCTTATGAGCAGCTTTTGTAAGGCTTTTGCAACAAAACTTAAAAATGTCAGTTGTTGTAAAGCTACACGCCCGTAAGAGCATCAGTGCTTTTAATGAAAACACATTTAGAAGTCTGTGGTAGCCTCGGATCTGAATGTGTCATCCATGAAAAATGACACTGACTACATGTTATAATAACAATGTGGAACTAGTCCAGTACACAACACTTAAGGAAAGAAGAGGTTAGAGTGAACAGACTAAAGTGACTCCAATAAACTGACTGGACAGATTTTGTACAACATTAAAAAATATGTCAGATGGTCTTTGAAGGGTCTTCATGACATTATCAGGGAAGACCATGGAGGGATTCTAATGATGTTATGGAGTGTGATGTGTCGACAGATGACAGTATACACAAAAGTTTTACAACAAGTGGTAATCTATCATTCTTAGGGCTGCAAATCATGTGCCATATGCAGATTTCAGGGATCAGACCACCGAAGCCTCTGCATTGGTCTGCTACCTCGTCCACATGCACCGGAGCCTTCATAGTCCTCCTGCAGGTGGTGGATCCACAGCTGGACAAGCCCATGTAACCAGTTTGGGCTGGGCCCAGAAAGACCCCATAGACGGGAAGTCCGTCCACATGGCGCACACACACACAGTCCCCAACCCGGAGCCGGGATCAAACCTGCAACCTTCCGATTACTGGACAACCTGCTCAACCACTTCAGCTACTGCTGCTCAGTTGGTTTACAGAGCTGAGGAGATCTGAAGAGTGTGTTTGTGTGTGTGTCCCAGTCTTTTAAAGTTAAGGTTCTTATTTTGTGATGAAAAACTTTCTCTGCTTTCGTTCTGCTAAGGGAGTGATTCTCCCGTAAAGTTTAGTTGTGACTTTAGGAAGAAGAAAGAAAGAAAACAATCTTTTATATAACACCTCTCAAGATAAATGTCTCAAGGAGCTTCAGAAAAACAACAAATGTAAAATATAAAAAATGATTCACTCACTGCCACTGACGAAAAAAAAAGTCGTCATTTTAAATCCAACCATTAACTACCAATGACAACTGAAGTCATCTTTCGCCTTTTTTTACTGTGTGGGTGTCGGAATGACCCCCCGCACAGTGAGAACGAACATCCCAGCTCTAAAGCCGATCTTTATCCGCATACGTCACACATCACGTGATCAGGAAGTAGAAAATCCATGTGTTAGGAGATCGTTTTGGGCCGCTGCTGTAAAAAAAAAAAAACAAAAAAAAAGAGCCGCAAACCCGTAAAGCTTCTGCCGATCACAATTGAACAACGGATAATGAAAGAACGGATAACGCTCGAAACACTCTAAGAGGTGAGTCTACTCTGTGTTTTGGCAGTTTTGGTGTTGACATCATCATAGAGCACTGAAAACCACTGGCAGCGAAGGGCTTTACTGATCAGGAAATGGCTGGCAGTGAATGCATTTCTTTAAAATGACAAATAAACAAAAATAGTGATTAAAAATGTTAGGAAAGGGAGAGAGATAATGAATTAGAACGAGGGAAATCGGAGGATCCCAGGAAAGGCGGAATAGGTGGAAAGAGCTTGAAGAGGGCGGTGACAAAGTTCACCCAAAACCAGCTTGAACAGGTGAGTCTTCAGCTGCTTTTTAAAGGAGTCCACTGAGTCCACTGATCTCAGGCTCAGAGGGAGAGTTCTAGAGTCTGGGGCCAAAGCAGCAAATGATCTGTCACCTTTGGTCGTTAGCCTGGTGCGCTGCACAACCAGTGGAGTGTTTGTGAGGAGTTTAATTGTTTATTTACAGATTTTTTACAACAATATGAAAAACCTCACATGAACTGTGATTGATAACACCATGAGCTGTTATGGCTTCATTAATTTTTGCTATTTTTGTTTTTGAAAAATCTAAATAAATAAAAGGATTTCCCCGTGTGTTATTTAGAGGCTATCAGCTAAAATAAGCTACATTCATTCCATAATTCCCCATGTAACTGGTGTGTAGTGGGAACAGATGTTCCAGCATCCACTCACCCCTTTGCAGATGGAAACTGCTTCCTTTGACATGGCCTTAGGGTAGGACACATTGTGCTCCATGATGGACTGAAACAACTCATCTTCATCCTCACCATCAAACGGAGGCTGTGAGAAGGAAACCACCAGAACGTTACTGTTTCAGTCATTGTTGCAGAATGATTCAGAGTGGATTTGAATGTGCAAACTCTATTTTATGTTAAAGCAGAAGTAAAAAAACAACAACAGGGATGAGTCTCAGTTGAAAAAGTTAAAAACTAAACATTAAAATAAGAAAAATATATAAAGTGTTAAAAAAAGCAGCAAGTTTCACAGAAAGACCTTAGCACCAGTGGAGTGGATGACCCAGCTTTTATCCCTCCTCGCCGGGTCGCTATCATCAGTAACTATAATACGGGGTTTTGACAGTCCATAAAATGAATTATTTGTCATTTCCACTCCAATGGCTGCCATCGAGTAAAGGGAGCCTGTCTGTACCACATCATACATCTCCCCGCTGTGTGGTGAGGGAGTTCATGGTTTGATTAGTTTGTTTTCACAGAGGTCATTTCAGCACTATTGAACATTTAAGTTCACAATATTTAAATAACCTTTGACATTTTCTCTGGTTTTACTTAAAAAGTATAGTAAAAACAGCTTTTAATCTTCCTTTTGAATTAGTTAATTTTTTTCATTTTTACATTCATATTAACAGGTTTTATACAAAGTTCATGTCAAAAACCATCGAATTGGTTACATAATGTAAACCATTAGGTGGAAATTATTTGATTTAGGCCAAATTTCAATAATAATAATAATAAATAATAATAAATAATAATAATAATATTAATAACTGGGCAAAAATGTATAGTAATAATAATGGATTAGAACAATATAGCAGTTTCCATTATTCACACACTCAAATATTCTCACGCTGCTGATTATTTGAAATTTACGATTTTTCTAACTGCCAGTGAATCAAAATATTATATATACATGTGTGTGTGCGGGTGTGTGTGTGAAAGTGATAACAGGACTGTGTAAAGAACAGTTAAACAGGTAAAACTCACCTGTCCAGCCAACATTTCGTAGAGCAGAACTCCATACGCCCACCAGTCTACAGATCGCCCATATGGCTGATACGCAATGATCTGTGGAGGAAAGAACAGAAGAAATGTCTTCAGGAGTTAAACACCATCCAGCATAACCAGTTCTATAAAAAATTAGTTTCTGTTGAAGAGATTTCTAAAAGATATATTTCCCCCCCCCACAAAGATATCATCATTTTTAATAGAAATTGTGAGTATTTGAAATGTGTTCCTACTGTTTTAAACATAAGAAAAAGCGATAGTGGAGAACAAATCATCTCAGTCGTTCAGAAGTTATAGTTGCTCCATTCAAATTGCATGATGCATGTAACGTGTTCATTTTTTTCTTGAACATTTGCGGTTAAAAACAAAAAAAATTCACAAGGGAGGCATATCCATATCAATGGAATTGTTCGAAAAAGGAAGCAAGTTATTTACAGTAGTCCTTTTTCTCTCTGCCCAGCTCAAAAAATGTCTGTTATCTTAAATCTCTACACTGGTCACCAGTAAACTACCGAATCCATTTCAAACTGCTTCTACTAGTTTATAAGTGACTCGGTGGCATAGAACCAAAATACATGTTGCTGGTAGAACCCCGGGTCAGAACCAAACAGGGCGAAGCTGCTTTTAGCTGCTATGCTGCACACACATGTGCCCCATCTCTAGTAACCTTTAAATCAAAATAGAAAAAATAGCCTTTGAATGAATGTTTCTTATGCTGAATCTTCTGCACTGTGACTGCTCATCCTTTACTGGCTTTTGCCTGATCTGAATTAAATTTGTGTATTTCACTTGTTCTAGATTATTTAGTGTATTTTAATTATGCTGTCACACTGATTTTGCTGTTCTTGCTCCTGGAAAGCACACCGAATTGCCTCTGGGCGAAATGTGCTATACAAATAAAGCTGCCCTGCTTTATCCTTCTGTGCAATTATAATTAAATAAAGCTGTTACTAATAAGTAAATACATGTAGCCCCACACAATGAACTGGTATCAATATACCTACATACCCATGTGTAAATATTTATACAAGTAAGTATTTATGGACATATACATTTATACACCCACCCATTACATATACACATTAAATATAGTTTAAAAGGTTTGGTTTACTACAATTCAGTCACTTATACCATAATAATTTGTTTGCACTGGAAATACTTTAATCTTAAACAGATGCACGGTTTACATTAGATATAAACACCGCCTCCCTGAGCAACTGCTCCTCTCCCACAGAAATGTTGAAGATAGACTCTACGGTCTACGAAATACGTGGGTCGTTGATTTTCAACAAGCCTCTGTGGTCTAAGAGCACATTTTCATAATGCCTGCACAGTTCTGTATGCAGATGCACTTCTTTAGCAAGTATATAATTTGGCTGAAACTTGCAGAGGAAAAGAAAATTTAAGCTTTCGTTACAGATTGAGAGTTTCACAGCAGCCTCTAAAACATGTTAAAAGGATTAAAATCTCAGAATCCACAATTTAGGAAAAACTGCATAGTTTTTCACAACAGAACGACACTAAAAGTAATATTTTAGATTTCAACCCTTTTAAAAGAATTTTTTACAAATCCCATAAAACTCTGTTTGTAACCTTTTTGCAAAAGTTGTATTTTTTTTATTGTATATTTTTCTTCAAAATGTCAAATTTCTTTTAGTAAATGTTTAAAGAACAAAAAGAAGGGTGTCTGAATTTATTTTCAGTAAGAAAGTCTAATTCTTGTTTTAAATCTTTGAGTTTTAACTTTTTATCAGGATTCCCATGTAATTCTCAAAAAAGGATAAAAAAAGAACCAGTGGCTCTAATCCTCTTCTGTAGGTATTTCTCAAAAAAACTAAAAGACAGTGTCAAAGTTGTAGCAGTTTATTCTGGAGGAATTCATATCTACTATGGTTAAAAAAGCTGATGACTTACATTTCTACAAATATGCAAAGTAAAAGTTATTGTTTCAAATTAGAAAGAGCACCATTGTCCTGCACAGGATGATTTGGTGTTCATGTTAAATCTAAACAAAGTTCTTAATAACAGACGTTTCATCTAATAGACGCTACAGGTGAAATAAAGGACCAGAAGCGTCGTTTTTTTAATGGCGCTCTGTGAAACAACAAAACCCAGTGAATTACGCCGCTGCTGTGGGGGGATTTCCACTGCCTTTTCGGTGTAGAGACTTCAGCAATGCAGATTTTAAAGCAGCACGATTGGTGCTTATTTGGGCTGCATGGTGGCGCAGTTGTTAGCACTGTTGCCTCACAGCGAGAAGGTTGCAGGTTCGAAACTTGGCTGTGGCCTTTCTGCGTGGAGTTGCATGTTCTCCCCATGCATGCATGGGTTTCCTCCGGGTACTCCGGTTTCCCCTACAGATCACAACATGCCCTACAAGTTGAAAATTGTACGTCGCTTTGGATAAAAGTGTCTGCCAAATAAATAAACATAAACGTAAACATATTTATTTGTGCTTCCATTCTGTTTCACGAGCAACTCTTCTAATGTTACTAATGCCAGTTGTTACGACCCTCCCCTGGGGACTTAAGGCTTGTGCATGATCGAAGGGACGATAACACATGATTTCAAAGTTAAGCGATGACCCGGTTTATTTACACAAATAAAATAAACATTTCTACAACAAAAGAGGTCCAACTACAGGTTGGGGGAACAAACAACTTAAAACTAACACAACCTGTGTTGGAAAAACTAAATCAAATAACTAAAACCAAACTCAAGATAATTCTTTTATAAAAACACCCACAGCACACTACAGGTATCAAATGGGAGATCTAGTCCATACCAAAGATCAACTTAACCAAAACATTACAGTACACCCAAACATAAAAGCTACACAGAACAGCTAACAGTAGTTTTACCCCATTTTGGCTCAGTTTACCATGTTTACCGGAGTTCAAATATCAAAACAACACACCAAATGAACCAGCGTGGAGGCGAGACTGCTACTACTCAAACAGCCCTCCTCGAGTAGCCGACGAAGCGTTCCTTTACTAAAATCATCGGCAGCTGCGTTGGAGACGGCGGCAGTGGGGTTCCACCCGGAAGTTGTGTTTCTGTTGCTTGGCAACAAAGTCAGGCCAACCAGGAAGGGAAGCACGAGGTAAATCCTTCCGGGCCGTGTTGCTGGCCGAGACTTGGTTGAGGGAGGCGGACCAGCAGGCGAAGCAGGAGGTCTTAAAGGACAAAGGTTAACTCATCCTCCCAACTCTGCTTACGGAACCTCGGAGGACATAACATTGGTTGTTTTGGATGTCTGCTGATGTCATTTCCTACTGAGTTACAACCAGTCAGAGTGAGTTAACCAACAGCTCTGCTCAGCTACTCAGCCGGGCCTTTCCAAGAACCTACCTTTGATCAGATAGGTACCTGAAAGGTACAAATGTGTACGTAAATGAACACCTAACGAAAAAGAATGAAACAATAGCTAAAGAAGCAAGAATTATAAGAAAACAGAAAAAAATCACTGCCACTTGGACAAGAAATGGTGTTGTATAACAAGGTCAAAATGCAAAAATGATCAAAGAGTTGAAAGATCTGAAAGTGTTTCAGAGTAAAAGATGATTTATTCTGTGTGTAGCACTGACTAAATAATGGATACTGGAATCAGCTTAACTATGGAAGCACAAATGAGTTCAAAAAGAATAAATGGATTCTGATGAGAAAATAAATGAACTTGACAGTAAAGTAGATGAAAGTTTATTTGATTTAAAAATAAATAGTAATTATTATGGAGAAGATCAACTAAATAGTGGGTTAATTAACAAGGATTCAGTATCAATCATCCACATAAACAGTAGAAGTTTACTTTCCAAGATGTCAACAATAAAGGATTATTTAGGTACGTTTAAAAGCAAATTCAAAGTCATTGCCATTACTGAGACTTGGCTTAATGATGAAATGATGGCTGAAGTACAAATGGAGGGTTATGAGCTTTATTTTGTAAATAGAATAAATAAAAGAGGTGGTGGGGTTGCCCTGTACATTAACAATGATTTAAAATGTAAATTAGTTGAGAAAATGACTAGGATGGAAGATAATGTTATGGAAATGGTAACAGTGGAAATTAGCAATGACACGTCCAAAAATATAACAATCAGTTGTGTATATAGAGCACCCGGTTCTTGCATCAGGACATTTACAGATGAAATAAATGACTTAGTGGATTATATTAAAAACAAAACCTTGTTCATGTGTGGGGACTTCAACATTAACTTGGAACATCCTGCTGGACAGAGAACATCAAGTGATTTTTTTTGATTTGATATATAGTTTAGGTTTGGTTCCGTTGATAAACAACTCTACCAGGATCACAACCCAAAGTGCAACAATAATTGATAATATATTCACTCATAGAAAGAAGGATCTTATTAAAACTGGGATATTGATGACATATATTAGTGATCATTTACCTATTTTTGTAGAGTCTCAATATCACTATAATAATAAAAATGATATCAAAAAACATAATTTAATTAATTATAAAAGAAATAAATCAGTTAAAGCCCTTGAGGCCCTAAATAAAGATCTTAAAAGGCAGAACTGGGAGGAAGTCTATGTCAATGATGTGAACACTGCATATACATCCTTTATGAAAAATACTGCTGAAATATTTCAATAATAGTTGTAAATTAATTAAAATAACAGGTAAAAGGGATAACCAACCATGGATGACTAAAGGGATCAAAAATGTGTGTGCAAAAAAAATAAAAATCTGTACATGAGATTCTTAGAGTTACAAAACAAAGAAAGACGAAGATATATATGAAAATATTAAAATTAATTAGTAAGAATAATTAGGAAACAGAAAAAAGAGTACTATGGTGAGCTATTGAATAAGAATGGAGACAACACAACAATAAACAATAATATTGTTTGTGTATGTGATTGATAATATTGTTTGTGTATGTGATTAATAGAAATAATACAACATCAAGACTTCCAAACTGCTTTGTTAAGGACAATAAAGACATTTATAAAGTTGAAGAAATTTCTAATGAATTCAATGATTTTTTTTAATAAATGTAGGGAGGAGTCTGGTGAAAAGCAAACCAATAATA